CTTCATAGAAAAATGGATTGGTCTGGGCTGTCGGGGACAGCTTGAGAAGCTCTGGATGTCACAGAAGAGGGAAAAGAGCGTAAAAAGAATTTTGAGGTTTGCAAAGATGAATTTCAGAATTTTGCCTCCAGGCTGTTTCTGGCAGGAGATGCAAATGTTTCTATTTTCTGTTTTTGTTCTCAGCCTCCTGAAGTCAGTAAGCACCATTTGTGGTTTTAAGGAAGAACCAGTGATTCCTACTTTAATCTCAGAACTTGTGCACATTCTGACAGTTTCTCTCAGTGAGCGTGCTTACGAGGCTCTAGCCCACCATGCTGGTTTGTCGAGTGTGAGGTACGAGAAGACATCGTGTAGGGAGCAGGGAAGTCTCAGCAGGGCTGTGTGGTGACGAGCCACTGTCCTCCTTTTCCGTAGGCGCCCCTCCTGATGCCTTAGCTGTAACATGTGTGCACACGGTCCGGTGGACCTATCTAATCTCTGACACACCATCACGGGTAGGTTTCTCTAATTTTACTCAGGCAGGACTTGCCAAGGTTCAACCTACAGATCTGTTCAAACTTGAAGGAAATGAAATTCTAGCTTTTGTATAATTCAAAGGCTTTCCCCCCCCTTTTTTTTTCTGTAATGTAACATTTCATTTGTACGTTGTCTTCAGGGTATGCATTCCTATGCAACAGGAATGTCTAACAGTTGAATTTTAATTGTCCTCCTAAGTACTTTCTGCCTTCTGTGCATAAAGCAGCTAAGCTTTGCAAAGTCTGTGAATATTTTGTGTTAGTTTGGTTAAAGCAGAAATGACAGCAATTATTATTATTAATAGTAACATTTGTAATATGGGAACGATCGACTGATCTTGGCTATTTCACGGTCGTTAATCATTTCACTTAGAATTTGAAGACAGAGTACATTAGGGCTACTTTGGATCTTAATACCAAAAAGCTTTCTTTCAAGGCTGTAGAGGAGTAAAGAAGTATAGAAGACTGTTAGATGCTTTCTAGGTCTTTCTCTTAGTGGGTAAAAGCTCTTTATGTCCACATGTAATGGAAGTGGTTAATATTAATGTACACAAAGATGGTGACTAAAGTCTGTATTTATTATAAGACTCTAGAAGAAAAGGTTTTTTCCTCCTACCCTTTATACGGGGAGCCAGACATCTAACAAATACTCTCTGCTCTCAAGAAACGTAATGTTTATTTTTTGGCGGGGGAGAGGCAGAGAGAGAGGGAGACGCAGAATCCGAAGCAGGCTCTGGGCTCTGAGCTGTCAGCAAAGTGCCTGATGCGGGGCTCGAACCCACGAACCGTGAGAACATGACCTGAGCCGAAGTTGGACGCTTAACTGAGCCAACCAAGTGCCTCTCAAGAAACTTATAAAATGCAGGGGCACCTGGGTGCCTCAGTCATTTAAGCGTCTAACTTTGGTTCAGGTCATGATCTTACCGTTTGTGGGTTTGAGCCCTGGATTGGGCTCTGTGCTGACAGCTCAGAGCCCGGAGCCTGGTTCAGATTCTGTGTCTCCCTCTCTCTCTGTCCCTCCCCTCCTTCTCGCTTGCTCTCTCCCTCTCTCAAAAATAGATAAACATTAAAAAATAATTTAAAAAAATTAAAATACAGTTAATCAGGTTATATTCCTGCCTTTAAACTCATCCATTATACCATGTAGTGGAGAAGAAGAAGTTAGATGTTTGTTAAACGTCATTCATGAGACACTCCATCTTACTTAAAACATGGTATACTTTTCAAGTGCCTGAGTCCAGGATATATGGATTTCTTAAAGGGGATGGAGGATTGGAACTGATGTCTTGGTATTTCCCTTTTCCCAGTTGCTGCCGCTGGGTGCACTCCCAGGGCTGGCATCTGGCTCCGGGCGCGTGCTCAGTAGAGTCAGCGAGGCAGTCGATGCCACTGAGCGGGCAAGTAGTCTCTCTGTTACAAACCTGACTTGAATAAATGCAGTTAGTGAATGCTAGTTCTGGGCCTTGGCGATGCAGAAAGAAATCGGATAGGCTCTGTTTTCTGGGGTTTATGGGCTAGCTGGGGAGCTGGACCGGGTAAGTGCGTGTAATCTAATGTGGATAAGCATTCTTCCAGCCTTATGGACAGAGTGAGTGCCAGTGGGAGGTAGAGACGGGAGCTGGGCCGCCCTGAGGAGTGGAGGAGTTTCCCCAGGGCTGGGAGTTTTCAGAAGGCCTCAATGAGGAGAGGTGAGATTTTCCAGGGAGAGAATTGGGTGGGGTTGTGTGGAAAGTGCATTCTCGGGGAGGGCATGCATTTGAGCAGACAGAGAGGGTTGCCCAGTGCTCGGTGTTTTCAGGAATCCATGGGTGGGCAGCCTGGGGGAGAGCAAATGACAATGATCACTATCCCAAATTATTTTTCTTTTTTTTTTTTTTTTAAACATTTTATTTATTTTTGAGTGAGAGAGACAACATGAGCAGGGGAGGGTCAGAGAGAGAGGGAGACACAGAATCCGAAACAGGCTCCAGGCTCTGAGCTGGCTGTCAGCACAGAGCCTGATGCGGAGCTCGAACCCACAAACCGTGAGATCATAACCTGAGCCGAAGTCGGACGCTTAACCGACTGAGCCACCCAGGCGCCCCGCAAATTATTTTTCTTTACACTGCAAACGTGAATTATCGTGTGCTAGATAAATGCTGCTGTGATTATTTTTTGGTAGCTGTTAATAGTTACTTTGATTTTGGGAATATACTGATTGGCCTTAGCGCAAACACTTTTGATTAAAAGTGTGATGAAGGGGGGGCGCCTGGGTGGCTTAGTCGGTTGAGCGTCCGACTTTCGCTTAGGTCATGATCTCGCGGTTCGTGGGTTCGAGCCCCGCGTCGGGCTCTGTGCTGACTGCCGGCTCAGAGCCTGGAGCCTGTTTCAGTCTGTGACTCCCTCTCTCTCTGACCCTCCCCTGCTGACGCTGTCTCTCGCTCTCTCCTAGAAATAAAATAAAAAAAAACATTAAAAAAAAAAAAAAGTGTGATGAAGGAGAAAGTCATGGTGCATATATGACAGATTATCACCTAGCACTGGGAATTATTCATAGGATAGTCCATGGACTTACTAATTGTTCTATGGTGGGACTATCCATTCTCCAATTTCCCTAAGAACAAAGCTTTCTTCTTCTATTTTGCTTTTTGGTCTGCCGTGGTTTGAGTCCAAAGCTTTTGGTGTGCTCGATACGGATATTGAGTAAAACAGATGTCAGGGTTTCAGAGGGAGGCATCAGGGAAGATGGGTCACAGTAGGAGGGAGCTGCCCGTGTGAAGGGCGGCTTGCGAAGGACCGTCGCAGAGAGGCTTCACCACACGTGTGAGCACGCGTGTCTCCGCCATCTTAGTAGGAAAGAAGCATTATTGTAGATTATTCAAGTTCTAGCTCTCTCTGCTGATTTGACCATAAGATTAAATAATAAATGCCTTCAAAGCTTTGTGCGGCGGGGGCAGATAATTAGATGTAATCTTTATTCTGGAAATCCCGATCACTCTTGGCATCCTTTGAAATGGTTTGAACTCTTGGGTATTATCTTAGCATGTTAGCGTCTGCACCGTGTTTAGTGCTCCTTAAAGACGTCTTGACAGTGGCCATGAATTTCTTTTGCGGCAAGTCGTCACTGACAGTGGTTCACGTGCGTCATTGTTTCTTACGGTTATTGAGGCAGGATAAATACTATAATCTTGGACTTGGACTTTTTTATTTGGTCACTCCCTCAGTCAGTGGTAACCAGTGTGATTTGTGTTATTTGTCCGTGGGGTAGAAACACGCCAGTGGAAGCCTGAGGACTCAGGGTCCTGAAGCTCAGGGAGAGGAGTGTCTCCTCTGCGCCCCAGGTGGGGTGCGGGGCAGACGTGTGGAGGGGCCCTTGGCCCCTGAGCTGGCACAGTGACCTTTACCAGGGGTGGTTCTGCACAGTGTTCCCACGTCAGCTTGCGCTTGCTGATGATCCGGCGCTGCGAGAGGGAGAAAGGGAGGGTGCTGGGACTGTTTCAGGGGTCAGCGAGCCAAAGGAGAAAATTCTCCTGGGCAGGATGGGTCTGCGGTAGTGTCTTAAATTGCCTGGTGCAGCGGTTTTTCTTCTAACATGAGAATAGGTTGCTGCTGCTTTAGGAGATTCACAGGATGAGGGGGTTGACCTGCGTTTTGGAGCCATGTTGCACCACAACTTCTTATCTGCGTAGCTCTGTACCGATAGCCCGGGCAGGCTGTGCTCCTGGTGAGAGAGGCCTGTGGGGATGGGGGGGGGGGGGGCGCGAAGGGGTTGTCCAGAGGGAATGGCCACAGGCTCATTTTCTCCCCTGGGCACACACTCGGGGTGGAAAGTGCCCTCGCCCGCCCACCCTCTCCCCCTCTCCTCCCGTCCCTCTCTCCATCTCTGTGTCTCTCTGTTTCTCCCTATTTGTCTCCCACCCCCCCACCCCCCCATCTGTGCGGTGGAATGGACTCCGGCTCCTGGCTCACACCGCCTGTGGTGCTGGCCTCCTGCTATCGAGGGCCTGGAGAGCATGTGGGCCTCCTGGCGGCTTCGTGAGCGCTGTTTCTCACGCTTATGCTTTAGTGCTTACTGGGTGACAGTGGACATGGTGATACACTATTTCTAGAACATAGAATGTAGATATTCTGTGTAGATCGAAGACAGATCTGTATGCGTAGACCCTCGCCTGTAACTGGTTTTGGGGGGTGGGGATACTCAAGCCTGACTCCTATTAGAAATGTGGCTCTGCCGGTTATGAGCCCAGTTATATGGGCAAGTCACTTAAACTACCCTCCACTTCAGTTGGGTTTAAGTAAATAATACGTGAGAAAGTCGGTACGAATGGTGCCTGGCTAAGTGCTCCATAGACGTAGCTCTCTTAGTTTGTGTTGCAAACTAAAGAGCTAGAACGGACCGGCCTAGCCCACCTCCCCACAGATAGAAGTGTAAACAGTATTCTAGACAGGACATTGGGAAATTAGATGGTTTTCTCTCTGGTTTGCAACAGTTTTATCCTTTTTCAGAGAAACAGCACCCAGGACCATCTTCCAGAGAGTGCTGGACATCCTGAAGAAATGTTCTCATGCTGTTGAGCTGGCCTGCAGGGACCCAGCCCAGGCGGAGCACCTGGCTTCCAGCCTGCAGCTCATAACCGAGTGTTTCCGGTGCCTCCGAAATGCCTGTATCGAGTGTTCTGGGAACCAGAACTCCATCAGGTAGAGTTCTTTGTCCGTGCGCGCTCGTTGTGTCGTCCGGGTCTCCAGGCCGGATGCTTGAGGAGTCCGGTGTGACCAGTGTCACCACGAGGCTGCATTTGCGGCCCTAGGGAGAGTCCTCCGCAGGCTCGCTGCTGCTGACTCTTAGATGAGCACGTAGATGGTGCCACACAGAATAGGGAGTGTTAACATTAGGGGTTATTTTGGTTTTTTATTTAGTCAGTAAAACCTTGGTTTGCGAGCATAATTCGTTTCTGAAACCCATTTATAATCCAGAGCAATTGTATATCAAAGTGAATTTCCCCATAAGAAATAATGGAAACTCAGGATTTGTTCCATAACCCAAAAGTATTCAAATAAAAATGATTACAGTATTGTAATATAATACAAATGATTTATAATAAAAAATATATATAAAAAAATAAAGTAACCTGTGCTTACCTTTGAAAGCCTTCGTGGCTGGTGTGAGGGAGACGAGAGGAGGGTGATCGTGTAGGACGACTTTCACTCTCACTAATGGAATCACTGATACCTGTTGGCCCAGTGGAATTGTTTTCTGTGTGGGGGCCATTGTCTGTGCTCACACGCACAGTACTAGTAAACTCCTGTCATAGACTGTATTTAATGTAACCGGCAGTAAGGCAGCAAAGGGTCTGTCTGTAGGCAGCGTGACCTAGAATGAAGCAAAGCCTTCCTATGCTTACCCTTGTGTGGGAAAGCAACAGACTGTCCAGAGGTGCTTTGACGTGACAAAATACGCTAGTGACAGTCGTGGGCACCTTCCAGTGCTCTGAAAAACCACCGATGTCTGCCAAACACCACAGCCTGAGACTGAGCATCTGAGCATGGGAGGCAATCACCCACAAGCCCACGGTGAGCGAGCGAGAGAGAACCATTGGCTCAGGGGCACCTGGGGGCTCAGTCGGGTAAGCCTCCGACTTCGGCTCAGGTCATGATCTCACAGTTCATGGGTTCGAGCCCCGCGTCGGGCTCTGTGCTGACAGCTCAGGGCCTGGAGCCTGCTTGGGATTCTGTGTCTCCCTCTCTCTCCACCCCTTCCTCACTCGTGCTCTGTCTCTGTCTCTCAAAAAATAATCATTTAAAAAAAAATTAAAAGAACCATTGGCTCAGTTGTGATCATGTGACATTTGGCATCACGTACTACTCGTATTTCAAGACATTGCTTGTTTATCAATTTAAAATTTATTAGAAATGTTTGCTGGTGTTGGGGAGCACTCGCACAAGTTACAATCCAAGGTTTTACTGCGTTTCTAATGTGTTATGAGGTATGTGGATATAGTTACAGAGCACAGTGACTTTAACCTAATTAATGTGTCTCTCTTTTTTTTTTTTAAACCCTTTACAGGAACTTGGATACAATTGGCGTTGCTGTTGATTTGATTCTCCTTTTCCGTGAGCTGCGGGTGGAGCAGGAATCCCTGTTGACAGGTAACTTGCGGTTTGATTCACAAATTATTTGTATTTTGTAAAGGGTTTAAAAACCACAACTCTTGAGTGTTACATTGTTCATTAAAGCAAACGTGTCATTTCACGATCAGAGAAACTTATTTAGTGATGATAGTGACTTTCCATAAAAGAAAGGGGCAATGAATTCCTTTCTTCCCTCTCTTGTGGGCTGAACTGTGCCCAGATCCACAGGGCGCATTCCCCACCCCCTGGCACTTGAGACTGTGGCTGTAGGTGGAGTCCGGGTCTTTAAAGGGATAAATGAGGTAAAATAAGTAATCCGTTAGGACTGGGGTTGCCGTAAGAAGAGGTCAGGACAGGGACACACGCAGAGAGAAGAACGTGCAGAGAGACGACCATGTGAGGACACGGGAAAGGACGGCCGCCTGCAGGCCCAGGAGGGGGCCCAGGAGGGACCCGCACCCCCCACCCCGGCCGTCCCTGTCGTGCAGGCCGCCTGGCCTGTGGCGCCACATGTGCGTATGGCGCCCCTGTTCTCCATGCTGGGTGGGACCCCAGCAGTGACCAAAGCAGGCAGACAAGTCTTTGCCTCAGCGTGCTGACAGCGCAGGGGGGGCGTCTGGCGCTCGTGGGTTACCTGTGTCCAGCACGCGCACATCTGGGGGAGGCAGCGCCCTGACTGCTGATAGCTGCTGAGGGATCAGGAGAGAAATCCAGCCTCAGGATTCGAAGACCAGGAAGCTTTTCGAGACTTTTTTTTTTTTTTTTTACAGTTTTGCCTTTAAATTTTTTTTTTTAATGTTTTATTTATTTCTAGGAGAGAGAGAGAAAGCATGAGCAGGGGAGGGTCAGAGAGAGAGGGAGTCACAGACTGAAACAGGCTCCAGGCTCCGAGCTGGCAGTCAACACAGAGCCAGATGCGGGGCTCGAACCCACGAACTGCGAGATCATGACCTAAGCGAAAGTCGGACACTTAACCGACTAAGCCACCTAGGCGCCCCTTTTCAAGACTTTTTTGAATGTGTTTGGTTCTTAAAGTATTAGCGTCCATACTTCTTCTTTGGACAGGGGTTATTATTGTAAGATCCTATAAGAAAGCATAGAATTTTAACAAACGATGTCTTTATCCGAAGACTCGAAATACTTCTGGGGAAACCCAAGGCATTTAATAATAAAATCTTAATGTAAATGTCCAGCTTATAAGAATAAGTACTAGATTGTGGACAAAACAAATTCTTTCTAGTAATAATTCAACAAATAACATCCTCTAAAGGAGAAATCCTCATGGACTCGGTTAAGCATCTGAATCGATCTCTGCGCAGGTCATGATCAGAGCCCTGAGTCCGGTTCTGTGCTTCTAGTATGCGTCCTCTCTCAAATCAACTTCTTTTTTTTTCTTTTTTCTTTTTTTTCAAATCAACTTCTTAAAAAATATATAAAGGAGAAATCTCCAGCTGTCTGTAAAATACGGTCTGATTTATAAGTAGATTTACCTACAGTTCTCAGTGCCTGTACTGCCTCTAAACAGTGAGGCCGCTTCATCTCCGTGTTAACGTAGGTGCTGCTGTTGGGAGGGGGAGAGCCACACGTGGTGGCCTCTGCGAGGGAGGGACACCGAGGCTCAGGGCGCAGGGTCAGCGGTGCTGCCTGGCTCAGCACAGCCCTCTTCCTGCTCCGCGACCCCTCAGTGTTCTCCTTTGACGCCTTTGTTAAGAGTCCCGCGTCCCTACCTGGTTCAGACTTCTTCCTGGGGGAAATTGCAATTATCTTTTCAATTAATTAAATCATCTAAGACTCTGCACACAAAGTGTTTGCGTTTTTCTGAGCAGCAATAATTTCTCAGGTGTCCTTGAGAAACCGATAGGGTGTAGGATTTGGTTGGAAGGCACTTTCAAGACGTTGTACATTTAGAAGTCTTTCCATAGCTCTGTTTTATAGTGAAACGGAAGCCTCCGTGCAAATTTGGGGATGACAAACGGGCAGTGAAACCCAGACTGCACTCGGCTGCGTGGAGAAGCATCTGGTTTTGAAGCCTGTGTGTGGTGTGGTAATTCAGAAGGGGACTTCCGAGTGCACTGCCTTTCACGGTTACTGAGGCTTCCTGATGTGGGGGACAGCGCGGCGGGCAGGCGTGGGTTTCCCTTGAGGGTCAGGTTCTGAAGAAGACGCCCGGGGAAGCGGGGCGCGCACTCCATGATGAAGTAGCCGTCAGAGCGAGCCCGCGCTTCACCCCTCACCCTCTGCCCCCGGCCTCCCGTCAGCACAGCCGGTGCCCTCCTGTCCTCCCTGAACCCCACGGGCCCCTCTGCTCTGCCCCAGACGTGCCACAGGACACTTGGTGTAGCCTGTTCACGTGATCAAAGACTATTTCATGCGATTGATTTTTCTCTTCACCGAAGCAAGTAGGCGATCTAATGAAAAACTTAAAGGAGCTGATTTCTGAAATTTGTTATGACCTGATTTGCCATGAAGACTACACTGGCCGTGTGGTTGGGGGCCTGGCTGTTCACTGATGTGCATCGGTCAGAGGACGGGTCTTCAGACACCTGGGTTGTGTTGTGCTATGTTGTTGGAGTGTTCAGAGCTGTTTGTGGTCCTGGCGGCTGCATTTGTTTTTGGTTTTTGAAATTTTTTTTAACGTTTATTTATTTTTGAGAGAGTGTGAGTGGAGGAGGGGCAGAGACAGAGGGAGACAGAATGTGAAGCAGGCTTCAGGCTCTGAGCTGTTAGGACCGAGCGCTATGTGGGGCTTGAACTCAGGGACCGCGAGATCAGGACCTGAGCTGAAGTCAGACAGATGCTAACTGGCTGAGCCCCCCAGGCACCCCTTGGCAGCTGCATTTGTATCCATTTCGTTCAGTGATAGGTTTCTTACCGACACGGGATCCCCGCAGTACACACGTAACCACTCGCGAGGGGACAGTTGAGTGGCATTGGGAGCAGTCACCATGTTGTGCAGCCAGCAGCTTGGATGGCATGTATTTTCATGGTCCCAGGAGGAAACCCGGTCCCCCCTGCGCCCCGGCTGCCGCTGGTCTGCGCCTGTCTCTGTGGGTTTACGTCTGGATTTCTTCTGGAAGTGGAGTCAGGATTATTGGCCCTTCTTTGGCTTCATTCACTAAGTAGAGCGTTTTCCAGAGCTGATCCCCATGGTGGGCTGTATCAGCACTTGAGGTTTTCAGATGGCTGGATCCTAACCCGTCGTGTACACGTGCTGGTTTGTTTATGTCTTCACGCAGTGCGGCCCCGGGGGCCGTCTCCACTGATGGGCGTCCGGGCAGTGCTGCTCCGAACAGGCACGGACAGGCCTCTGTCTGAATGGCTGTTTTCTGTTCTTTGGGAATATGCTTAGCCATAGAGTTGCACGTCAAGTTTATATTTAAATCATCGAGGAACTGCCAGACTTTTCTCAGCGGCTGAACTATTCTACATTTTTACCAACAACATATGGTATTCCGGTTTTTCCACGTCCTTGCTGACATTTATTTTTCTTTCTTTTGTTTGTTTTTTTTTGGTTTTTTTTTTTTTTGGATTACAGTCATCCTGATGTTTGTGAAGTGGTGTCTTACTGCGATTTGCGTTTTCCTCATGATCGATGATGCTGAGCACCTTCTGATGCACCTGTTTTGGCCATTTGTAGGTCTTCTTTGGGGAAGTGTCTGTTCAGGTTCTTTGCCCAGTTTTTAATTGGGCTGTTTGTCTTTTTGTTGGTGAATTTCAAGAGTTGGGTGTATATCATGCATGCTGAGAATGAGGTTGAATTTGTAGGTCCCTTTGGGGAGAGATGGCCATCTTGCTGATCCTGGGTCTTCCAGTCCCCGAATATGCACCGTCTCCCCATGCAGTTAGGTCTGCAAATTCCAGTTATGTCCGCTTTAGGCAGATGACATGTGTTTGTAGGCAGAGCTGGAAGGATATTACTGAGGCAAGAAGGAGAATGGAAGCTAAGAACATACTTCTCACTTCTTAGAAAGGGCAGTTCACAGTATTCCTGAATTTATTTGGAATTCAGTAGTGAAACTTGGATTCAACAATGAAACTCAAAAAAGTTTCATAGTGTATTAGTTCAAGCCTAATATAAGCCTTGCAAAAAGTATTCTGGTTTTTTGTTTTTCTAAATATTTGAAATGTTTATTTTTGAGAGAGAGTGTGAGCTGGGGAGGGCCAGAGGGAGAGGCAGACACAGAATCCGAAGCAGCTCCAGGCTCCAAGCTGTCAGCACAGAGCCCGATGCGGGGCTCGAACCTGTGAGCCATGAGATCATGACGTGAGCCGAAGTCGGACACTCAGCCGACTGAGCCCCCCACCCAGGCACCCCAGAAGTATTCTGGTTCTTAATAAAGCGCCCATAGTGTGTTTTGACTGTTCCTCTGTGAGAATTGTCTTCTTGTGGATTTTTAGCAGAGCACCTGTGACAGCTTCTTGTTCCCACTCTGGAGGTAAAAACTGTAATTACATTGTCAAAATAATATTTAGAGTATTATTTTCAGAGAATAATTGCAGTGGTGTGACGAATATATTATGCTCATCAAATTTTATGTAAACACAAGCAGGAGTTATTTTAATTGAGTTATTGCTGTTGTTTTTGGCCTTTATTCTTTTCTAATCTGTAAAAATAATGTTGGGATTTTTGAGGGGCTTTGTAACATTTGCAGTATTTACACAGATCAGTTGATAAGCTGTTTGGTAAAAGTAAACTGTCATTTGTACTTGTCTGGGGTTTCTTTTCTTGCTGCTAGCCCATCTGTAAACCTTTTCCTTCCTGGAATCGTGTTCTGATTCAGAGTGCTAATTTTCAGTTGCCTGATGTTGGCTTCCAGACCAACTTACATTGTTGGCTTTTGTGTGTGTGTGTTAAATTTTACAAGGATTTGACTGTTAATGTTCTAAAATACTCAGTGAAAATATAAATGTCATTTTAAATTGTGACTTAAGATGAAAAATGAGGATATAACCTTTCATTATAAGCATTTTTCTGTAGCTCGTTATGGAGTAAAGCCGTCATGTGCATCCAGGCTGAC